AGGTTCTTCAATAAGTCGGAAATAAGATAACAAGGGGAGAGGTGCGAGTCGCGGCTCCGCCTCTGCAACGATATATCTCGCGCAAGTCAATTTCAGAATTCAACGTCGTAAAGTTTACCATAAAACTAAACAGATCCGCGAACTATCTAAGTCTATGGACACTTCAGACTACGAAAGCTCCGAACTGGGCTAACGTGCTCGAAACGTCCCTCTCTAAGCCTATAACTGTACACTGGCCATTATTATTGGCATAGCAATTCAAAGTTTTGCCGCAAGGATGGTCAAGGATGCACGGCTAACAAGGAAGAGTACGGCCACGAAAATAACTTCAACACTTTTTAACAATCCACGTTCACATCGACGAATGCATGTCAAATCCTCTCGTTGGCAAACATTTGCGACGTTCAATTTAATTATAATAAAACTACGTTTATCTACGTTGTAAAAAAAAAGTGCTGGAAACGGAGAGGATGAACGTAGCAAAATAGCCTTGTATCTTTCCTTTTTCCTTCTTCTTCTACGTCTCGAGCTCGCCTACGGTTCGAGTAAAAGAAAAAGAAAAAGAAAGAGAGGGTGAAAATGGAGCGAGACGCAAGAAAGAGGGTGAAAGGGAAGAAGCAAAAGGAAAAAGTGGACGCGCAAAGGGAAGTTATGATAACGCTGTTACAGACATCGAGCGACGGGAACACGACCACCAGCATCTTATCTTTCATGGCGACCAAAGCAGATGCTGGTAGACAATTGTCGTGCCGGGCTGAAAATCGAATCATGGGAACCGAGTCGATAAAGGACGACTGGGTGCTCGAAATACAGTGTAAGCGCATTAAAGACACACGCCTCTGCAGGTGCTTGCTGCTGCAGAGTTCCCGGTGTCGATCAGTTACGATTATTCACCGCGGCGCGCCATCGACATATTGACGTTTTCAATTTGCAGACACGCCGGAAACCCGGATACAGCTGGGCACCTCGTTGAATCCGAACGCGATCCGCGAGGGAACCGACGTCTACTTCGATTGTCTGATCCACGCCGAGCCACCCGTTTACAAGGTTGAATGGCGACACTTGGTAAGCAATTTTCTCCAATTCGCTCAGGCATCGTCGGATTCTTACATATACTGCGTCGATCGTGATCTTACTTCAATCGTAGCTCAGTGCAATTAACATTATGTGTTTGCATTAGCTAGTTTAATTTTTGACGCTCACGGTAATACAGGATATTGTGAGACCTGTTCTCGTCGTGTTCACTTTATTGTAAAAAAAAAAAAAAA